TGTGCACAGTGATCACCTGGAACTGTGAGCCGTGGGTGTCCTGGAATATGAGACCACCTCCCAACCCATCGTCACGTCAATACTCCTAGCGCACCCCCCATCCCACTATTCTACCTCAGTGTGACCAGCACTCAGGACCACTGCCCTACCAACGGGCTGGCAACTTGGACCGAACAGCGGTGATAGGCACCAGGGCTGATAGATTGCCCAGCCCTGGTGGAAGCGGAATCGGACGAACCTTGTGGAATGGGAACTTCGGACACCAGGCTCAGACAATGAACTACAGGCCCCATATATATATAGCCACCAGACAGTTCTATCCGCCCCGCAGCCTTGCGCATGGACACCAGCAGGGCGTTAGATTGACACACGGCTGGATGCACATCCCCTTGGGCTGACGCATGGTACTATTACAGACACTGCCTGCGCACCACCCAAGGGTAGTCCACGGTGTTGTATGTTGGTTGTGGGTTTCACAGGGTTTGGTGGGGGTGTTGGTCTCGGGTGTTCTGATGTTCTCCCCAGTCTGGCATATCACACGATCATTCCATTTCCGGTAGTTGCTCATACGGTAGAGTCTTGGATTACATGTTACAGGGTCACGGGTTCAAGCTTGGTTCGGTCCTTGGGGGGGGTCCTTGTCCAGCTGGCCCGTTCTCTCCTCGATACATGATTCACAGAGTTCACATAGCTTTCGGGCATACACACATAACTTGGGAATTATATATCGCTTACAGGTTACATACACAAGTTTCCACACATGATACTGTCTACACAGATTCACAGAATATATACACAAAAAACAGGCTGGGGAGCTAGTCACTGGTGGCCCGTTCTCTTCTCGATACATGATTCACAGAGTACACATAGCTTTCGGGCATACACACATAGCTTGCGAATTATATATCGCTTACAGCCTTACAGGTTACATACACAAGTTTCCCCACATGATACTGTCTACACAGATTCACAGAATATATACACAAAAAACAGGCTGGGGAGTGGGGTCTAGTGCCTGCCGTAGGTTCAGGTAGGTTGGATAGGGTGCCATTGGGGGTGGGGGTGGCTAACACAAAGACCAAGCATTTTTGCCAGTAGCTGCGCCTCCCATCTACCTCCCCCACCCCCATCGAGCAACAGCAGTGTCTATGGCCAACATTCTCCCCCACACATCTACCTCTTTTTTTGGAAAAAAATGTTAAGTGTTCGGCACCCAACAACGCTAACGTACCCGGCTGCAGTAACTCAAATGTGGGCAACTCGCTGAAATGCATCTAACCTTTTTTTTTTTTTTCCTTGAAATTAATATGCAAGTTACCATCCTTCTTCTGCTTTTTTTCCCCCTCCCCCCTCTTTCATTCGTAAAGCCCAGGTTGTTGTAGATGTTGGATGCTAGACATATGACAGTCACCTACGGTAGTTGGCCATTTGGTTATCCAAATGGTCTGTAGAGGTCCTGTCCCGTATGGGAACTTCGAGCACAAGGCGTAGACGTTCTTCGACAAGTCCCGTAGGTGGACCCATCCCTGTCTCCCAAGCCATTTCTATTCATTAGTCTGCTTGTGTCTTGTTATATTGTTCATTACATGTACCGCTGTTATTGTTTGCAACCTACAGGTTCTAGGCTTCTAGTCTATTATCCGAAGATGTACAGCCACCATCCACCCCTTCACCTATACACGTCCTCCTAGACCTCTCTCTGGTCACATTGTTGTGGTTGTAGCATTGTTATTCTGCTCATTGTTGATTGCAAGCCATCTAGTGGTACCCTAGCCTTTGTCATTGGCGGGTCTACTACCACCATCTGTCCCCTTACCTTGGTCATCAAATACCCTCCAGCCGCTATATTGTAAGTTGTCATCACCCAGAGCAGCCCCAGTTTCCATCATCAGTACATACTAGGCCACCATCCGTTCCTCTTACCTCCGTCATCAACCAGGCCTACTCTGGTCTATTTGTCAACGTCGGAAGCAGGCTATCCCACCATTATCTATCCCTAAGACATCCCCTACTACAAGATCCCCTCCATCAAGATCAGCACCTGTCTCAGTCATTGGTACATCCTATCCATTCCTCTTACCTCCATCATCGACTAGACCTATTCTGGTCTATCCCCCAGGGAGGTCCTACCTCAGGACTCTCCTACTTAATTGCCCCACTGAAGGGAACCCCCTATCATCCCACCTGTGGCCCTGCTCCCCCAAAGCAAGGCCCTAAGGTAACCAACTCACATGATCAATCTTACCACAACATCCCTGCCTGCATCTCAACTACCTCTGAGCAAATATGCTCTGCCTGGCCTGATCAGATTCGAACCCTCAACCTCTTCTATAGAGCCCCTAGCTCAGCAGTCTGTGTTGTGCGCTGTACTGGACTGGGAGAGAAGTGTGTGAACAATCATCAGAACAACCCATGGACCAAGAACATCAGGCAGACCTCTCATAGCCTAAACCCCAGCATACAACAACCATGGACTGAAACCCTTGGGTGGTACAGGCAGTGTCTGTAGTCTTTACCATGTGCCAACCCAAAGGGGGGTGTGCGAATGGCCATGCGTCAGTTAACGCCCGCCGGTGTCCATGTGCAGGGCTGCAGAGTTTTGAACCCACAACCTCAAACCACAATGCGCATTTCCAACCGGTGCTCTACCCACCGAGCTAACGGCGAGATAAAAGGCTACTGAGAACTGATATATCTTCAGAAAAAACATATCGGGAGTTAGAAACGAAAAAGAAAAACGAACTGACGGGCCCAGCTCAGTTGGTACACCCATGAAGTGTTTAAATGCAGACAAGCTTGAATCCAGACGCAATCAGAAGAACATAATAAAATATTCTGAAATCCCTGCCCATCAGCTCAATGATTATATCTCAAGGCCATCGCCCTTCTAAAAGAAATGATGTGGGGTTTTCTCACTTGTGTCCACAATCCAGATTGGCGCAGTCACTGGGTCGACAACCCACTGAAGAGGAGTGGGCCGAGGCTGTAAATTTGCCGGTTAGGGAACTGCTCCGGCGAGTTACCGAAGGGGAGCGGGCGAGAGAGAGAATGATCGACACCAACCTTCGTCTTGTCATATCTGTGGCAAAGAGATATGTAAATTATGGGCTTGATATGCCAGACTTAATCCAGGTGATTATTATTCTCTTGGCCACGACCCCCCTTTTTGAGACCCAGATATCGAGTATCGTATGCCAATGCTATTGAAGTGGAGGTGAAGTAGCTGTGTTTGTGGAATAATGGTGGTTGCACATGGACCAGACTATGGGACAGTTGCTTGCTGCTTGCTTGGTGACAAGAGTCTCTGTATCAGAATGAGATGTGTGTCTGTGATGTTCATGTCGACCTTCTTCCCCGGAATACAATGTACAGTCATCATAGCTGTTTTTATGCATTCATAC